TCGATGATATCCTCATTGTTTTCTCCTTTCAACACTAAGACCGTCTCCTTGTTCTTTAACCTACTGTAGATGAAACTGAAGATCACTTTTGGCTTATCGACGGCCCGTTCCATAACTCGCATTTCATACTCCTTCCGCGACCTGCGGACAGCCCACCTTACTTCCTTTCGCTTTCGACGAAACTGCTCGTAATCAGATGGTTGTTTTGCTGTTGCATACCTTCTCCATAGTTTATTCTTCCGGTTTACTTCTTTCTTTATATCCCGCGTTATCCAGGCATGACGAATACTCTTTCTGACTCTCTTTGTCGGGCAGTTTCGATGCATGATGTCTGTTACAACTTCTTTGGGAGTGTTCCAGTCAACGTCTGGATGTCCGGAAAGCACATAATTCCAGTCCACTGCCGATAATTCCCTTCTCATGGCGGCAAAATCTCCTCGCCAGAAATTCAGTCGAGGCTCAGTCGTATTCGCTTGTTGGCTGCATAGGCGGTATTGCCAAAACATGGTCACTCTTACCCAGTGGTGTTATGGACCTAAGTTCGTCAGGGCTAATTGGGTCTTTTGTTAGGACGAGGTCAAGACAATTTGCTCTTTGGTCCTCTCTGATCCTGGTTGGGAACGTGACGTTTTGTACCAGAAAGAGATTAGCCGTTAGCTTCAAGAGCCTGGAATCAAAGGAATTTCGCAAAACATTTATTAATAAATTGTTCCAGTCGACCATGGGTTCGTTGAAGTCTCCAGTTATCATTTCCTCTTGGTTTTGTGACACCTCTTTAATTAACCCAAACATCGCCTCGTCAAATTCAGCAGTCTGATTGGGTGGCCTATATACGGTCAGGAAATTCAAATTAGGTGAGCCACGCATCCGCAGTTTTAACCAAATTGCTTCACAGTCGCGGGAGAAATCGGTTTTGTGTTCTGACGCGATGATTCCTCTCTCCCTCCCTCCTCCTCCTTTTTATGCAGCCTGTCCCGGCGAAAAAGTTGGCATCCATCGAGTGCAATTTCAGCATCCAAGACTTTGGTCTAAAGCCAAGTCTCTGTGATAGAAATGACATCCGGCTGCATATCTATTATCCACACTTTCAGCTCATCTAGCTTCTGGAACAAACTCTGAGCATTTGCATAAAGAAAGCGGAGCTTAGCCCGGACAGTTTCCCCAACGAATTTTGGGGCAAAGTTGCTGGATATTTCGTGCGAGTTTTCGGGTCTATCGTCCCCTTCCGAGTCTCCAGCTGTTTGATTGCACTGGATGTTAGTGTGTTGGCCGTCGTTTTCTCTGATGGGTTTGTCAGATAGGAGCGTTATTTCCTTATTATCTGGTTGTTCTTTATGCTCATTGTTATTGATTGTTTCCAGAGAAATGAGCTCCGAACATTTACGATTTTCCCATCCAATATTTTTAGGTTTTTCTCACCAGAATTGTATCTTCTGAGGAGTTCGACCTTGAGCACCCTCCATTTCTCCCGTTCGGCCGGTGAGAAATCCTGCTGAAAAAAAAATTGTCGGGTGGGTATCTCGCAGTGCTGGCTTCCTGTTGAGGAGTACTAGAGATTGTTTCTCACTATCGAGAACAATTCTTGATGGTCTTTCATGGCCTGACTCACCCTTCAAATCCTTAATTGGTCCTATTCTGAAAGCTTTTAAGACGGTGATGTTCTAGTTCTCTTCTAAAAGGGATTTGAGGTAATGCTGGAATAATTCTATATCGTGGTTTATTCTGTTCTTTGGGATGTCCGAAGAAGACTCAGGCATACCCTTAACGATGATGCATTTATTGCGATCAGTAGGGCGCTGTCGTTTGTTTTTATACGCACAGTCTGCATTGCGAAAATTCTTGTTTTCCTCAATGTCCAATTCAGAGAGAGTTGTCATGGTATAGCTACCGCAGGGTTCCTCGTTTATCGAGGCTTCTTGGTCATGTGGTACCTCTTTTCGCAGTGAGGCATGTGCTTGCATTCTGTGTGGACTCTGCTCTCCCTTGCTGACGCTCTGACATACTTGGTCTTTTCGGAATGCTTTGAGACCTCTCCTGGTTTTTTGGGATGCCATTCGGTTATTTTGCTCTCGCACATGCGACAGGTTGTCGGTTGTCATTGGGTCCGTAGACGGCCTGTCTTCTTTTTTAGTGGCTAATACAGTTACTAAAGTCGTATTGGCCGTTTTTCTGTTCATCTTCTGAACTTCCGACATCGCCATCTTTCTCCTTTCGGGTGAATAGTGAGGAAGTTTCATCAGCTTCTCCATCTCAATTCTTAGATTCCTTACATCCTTCTCCATCTCCAAGATTTTCTGAAGAAGCCTAAAACATGACGCGCAGGCTTCGTCCTCTTATGGGACTCCTTGTGCGTTTAGCGGGTGGTGTTTTGACAGTAGAAGACGTATAGAATAGAATAGGTTTATTATAGCGCCTCTTGGACACTGACAGTCTCCCTTAAACACAAACAAACAAACAAACTCATCCATTTCGATTGCACTTTGACTGCATTTGTCTTGCGTGTCTCTTTAGCAAATACAGCGTGAATTGAGAGTTTGTTTTAGGTTAAAAGACAACCTGAGTTCCAAGGAAAAATAATCACAAAAGTTTTAAGAAAGGAAGATATTTACAACATCAAAATTGAAGTGTGCAATTGGGTAGTTTCTGGGTGGGCATGAATAATATGTCCTGCATGGAAATTGAAGATATTTGATATTTTGGTGTGTTCTATTTGGTGGTTGTCAGTCTCTCTGGTCAGCTGTAAAGGGTCGGTCGTTTTGCGGCCGAAGACGTCAAGGGTAACACACACCGGGGTAAAGAAGCGCCGAGAAGAGATCCTGGCGGGGGTAGACCAGAATAGAACTGTTAACATCTCTCGAAACTCGTTCACACGCAGAAGAAGGGAGTACGTCGAGTATGGATATAGTGTAATAGTCGAAACCTGATCGAATTTAAAATAAAAACCAAGAAATTCCTTTTAAATAACAATACGCAGTTATTTATGATTCAGACAGGGCACTTTCCAAATCAATACTTTAATATGGAATTTGATGCAAACCGGCTTTTATGTAGTCGGCAAATTCAAAAGCATCGGAATATAACACTGAAAAACAAATAAATTTAAGATAAACAGTGTATATTTTCCTCTTTCTTGTTTCCATCAGCTTGCTCACCTGACACTAATTCTTCATTAAGAAAAAAAATCGTCTCGGGATCGTGTCCAAACATGGGAAGCAATTCAGAAAGTACAGACTCGGGTATCGGTGAAAACAGGACAACGATTACGAAGCCGCCAATTGGGGCAGACTCGATATCCACGCAAGACCACCTAAGAAATATCCCAATAATATTACTTGTCGTAGAAACCGTTTCCCCTACTCCTGTTGCTGAAAGTGGCGGATAATCGTTTTTGCCAAAGGACGATATAACTAGGTCACCCAGTCTACCGTCGCCCTCGTGTCCACGCAACCACACCGAGTGCTCTATAAAACAGGTATTTGAGTGCGAAGACAGAAACTCTTGGGTAGGGAGAAGGGGAAACTTCAAAACGGGAGTCTGAAGTCACAACCAGCCCTGATGTGTTAAGATAATAATAATAATAATTTTATTTAATGCCAGTTTACAGGCATTGTCAAGGAAAGCGATTAAACACAAATCCGACCAGCAGTGAAAAAAACTCCTGAGGTAAAGGAAGGAAAGTAAAGTTGATGGTGGTTTTTATGGTTTGGATGGTTCCAGAGAAAAAACTGGTGGTGGTAGATTTTCGACCGTCAAGAAGGGGGGGAGGCGGGGGGGTTGCACGGTATCGGAGATTATCGGACGTCAGTTCCTTTCTTGAAATTGGGGATAGACAAAATAGAGGCGCGGAAGAACAGCTGTCGCTGTTGGCCAAAGAAATTGTCACTGCTGAGACCGGCCATAGTGGTCAGAGACCACAAACGCCATCGCTACGGTAGAGTCGATCAGTGGATCCAGCAACCAAAATTTGAGAAAGCTTTTCTGAATGCAAAAATCGAGTAATAGTTCTCTTAAATAAAGGATAATTTTGCAGAGTTTTCACACTCATTGGTAGTTTATTCCAAATAGCAATTGCATTTACGGAATAGAACAGAAGATATTAAACAGTAAGTGCCAGAGGAAGAAATAAAAAGAACTCACGGTGACAGATACGTCGGGATGGACATGATGTCTCGAAGAGGTAAGCGGTTTAAATGTGTGATTATATAAGAACATAAATAGCAAAAATAGTCCCATTTGTAATCTACAGAACCATAAAGGATCAAGGCTTGTAAGCCGGCAAAGTTCTTTGAAGACAAATGTCGGTGTTCCGGGGTTAAAATTCTCTTAATAAAAGAATGTTGAACGGATTCTATTTTCTTCCGCTCAGTAGCACGCATGAGGCCAAATAAAAACGAACAGTATTCCAGACCAGGTCTAACGTACATGTTCTAAAGGCGTAATATAATTGTAAAGAAGATGAAGACCCGATCTCTGGGACAGTGGGTTTATTAGTCTGAGTTTTCGGTCTCGTACAGGAGGCCATCGTCAGAGACTGTGAGAAGGCAACATCAAATCAGTGGTTTTTGTAGTCACACTATGAAGGGGGGGAGATATGAGTGCAGAGGATGGTATTCGCGATAAGTTGCGTCCCACGCCGTCTCACTGTGGCGTGACTGCGTGCACCCTTGACTGGAAATTGGGTCTCGCCCCTTGGCCGCGGGAACGGAGCGCGTGATAGCAGGGGGGTATATTAACGTGCCTGCTGATAGCGTTGGTGTCAGACACCCAGGCCTCTAACAGTTCTTGTCCTGTCTTATTGCTGGCCCGCGCCACTATCCGCGTGCTCGCAAAGTTGAATTCGTGGCCTTCCTCCAGGGTGTGAGTGGCGACCTGAGACAACGGGTCGCCTCTCCGGACCGCCCGTTTGTGCTCCGTTATTCGTGAGCTAAGTCGTCGTCCGGTTCGTCCAGTGTAGTGGCGAGGGCATCCCGACATGGGATCTGATAGACGACGCCCGATTGTTAACCCACGTCTAGGCGATCCTTCACTTGCATGATTTTGCTGCGCGTGGTCGCTGTCGGACGGTGAGCGATACCCACGCCGAGCTCTCCAGCGATACGTTCCATCGCTTCGGATACGTTCTTTATATATGGCAGAGGGTGCCAGAGTGTTGGTGGCTCTCCTCCGTTTGTTCGCCGTGGGCGCGTGCGGAGGCAGCGGCTGACGACGCTGTTCCTGTATCCATTCCTTGCCAGTTGGTCCCGAAGATGCCGAAGTTCTCGTACTCGTCCCTCTGGTTCACTGCAGTGCGTTTTTACCCTCTGGAAGAGTGTCCTAACACAGCTGCGTTTATGCGCCATTGGGTGGTTGCTGTGGTAGTTGAGAATCTGAGTCGTGTTAGTCGCCTTTCTGTACACCGTGGTGTTGAGTTCGCCGTTGGGTGTGCGTGTGACGAGAACGTCAAGGAAAGGCAGCTGTTCGGCATGCTCTTCTTCCCTTGTGAACTGGATGTCTGGGAAGATGCCGTTGAGCAGGTCTTGGAAGTCGGCCAGTCTGCTCCTTTCAATTATGACGAACGTGTCATCCACGTACCGGCGCCAAAATGCAGATTCATAGTGGTCGAAGGCGACTTTTTCCAGTTCCTGCAGGACTAGTTCTGCAACCAGGCTGGATATTGGCGAACCCATCGGCGTTCCTTTGATCTGCTCGTATGTTCTGCCATTGAAGGTGAAGAAGGTTTGTTGGCAGAAAGCAAACAGTTGCAGTAAGTGGTCGATCTTTAGGGGTTTGTTCGTCTCGTCGTAATTCTCTTCGAGTCGTTTGCGAAGAACGTCGCGTGCCAGGTCCGGTGGGATGGACGTGAATAATGAAACCACGTCAAAGGGCACCCTGATCTGCTCCGGTCGGACAACTTTTCATCGGATGTCGGCCAGGAATTGGGAGGCCGAATTGATGGAGGTCCTTTAGCCTTCTCGGAGAAAGTTAAGTTTTCGGGCCATCCACTTGGATAGATTGTAAGTGGGGCTGCCTTTCAAGGCAACGATTGGTCGAAGGGGAACATTGGGCTTGTGGATTTTGGGTAATCCATAAAACCGGGCCAGTGCCGTGTCCGTTGGTTTCATCTGTCGCCATTCGTCCAGCGATATAGCACTGTTTCGCTTGAGTCCGTTCAGGAGTCCAGTTAGTTGACCAATCATCGATTTGGCTCGCGAGGGAGGCGTGGACTTGTAGGACTGTTGGTCGTCTAGGAGGGATTGTGCCTTTTCGTTGTAGTCAACGCGGTTCATCACGACGGTTGCTCTTCCTTTGTCGGCTGGCAGCACTATTATATTTCTGTCCATTTTTAATTCCTTCATTGCTTTTATTTCTGCGGGCGACATATTATTGATGGGCCTGTTCGTCAGCAGTAGAGAGGTGACTTTTTGGCGTAAGGTGTGTTTAGCCTCGTCGGTCGCGTTGGTTCTTACCAACATGGCTTCAAGTGCGGCGATAAATTCGGCCGGTTTGGCATCTGCCGCATTAAAGTTGACTTCACGACTCAGCACTCTCAGTTCTTGTTCAGTTAACTGTCTGGAAGATAGATTGTGCACCACATTTTCGTTCGTCTTGTATTCGGGTTTCAACTTTCCGAACTTCTGCTCTAGGTTCGTGCGTTTTAACTCTTGTCTCCTTTTTGCAAAGATGGATATTGTTCGGCCAAGGGAATCAGTAACCAATTCGCCAAACAATGTCGCGCACTCTGTCCTTTTCTGTTCAATGACGGCGCGGTACTTGTGTAGGCGCAAGTGGCAGTCGTTAATCAACACTCTTGTCATTTGCTTGCGAAAGCGTTGCGCAACGTTTCTACCAAGTTCAGTATTCACTGGAGTCTTGTAGCGTAGGCTCTTCGGTGTCAGTCCTTCGCGAACACATTTGTGCAGAAAACGAAGCTGCTCATATGTTGCTGCCTCTCGGGTGGTGAATGTCTCACAGCTGCGAGCTGTGCGAAGCGCATTACGCCCGAAATTTTCACGGATAGAAGCGAATATGCGAATCCCAGGTGCTTGTTGTAAAGAAGATGAAGACCCGATCTCTGGGACAGTGGGTTTATTAGTCTGAGTTTTCGGTCTCGTACAGGAGGCCATCGTCAGAGACTGTGAGAAGGCAACATCAAATCAGTGGTTTTTTTAGTCACACTATGAAGGGGGGGAGATATGTTTCGTTTTTGTCTAAGAAGAACACAGCTCTTTTTGTTGTCCTTTGTTGTTTTTCTACCACGAATTGTCCATTTGCGAGCCACGGTCTTCGTGCAGATGTCGTGATCCCAACATTTGTTAAGGACCCATTTTCTAACCCTTTTCTAGCCCTGTTGGTCGTGTATCGAATTAAGTTTCGCTTCTGACTTAGTGGAACAAAGCTGTAGGAGTTTGTATATTGGCCTGTCCATGTTTTCTTACGTATTCTATTCTACGAATTGTTCCATCAGGCATTCTGCTAATTAGGACGTCCAAAACGGTATACATTATTCCTGCTCTCTTTCAGAAATTAAGGTTGGTGCTGGGTGAGTCTGGTTTACTTTAACCAGAAGGGCATCCAAATCAAGTTTATCATTCGCTATTACAAAAACGTAATCAACATATCGAGCATAGTAATTGACTTCCTGAATCACGCGATACAGTTGATTGTTGTTCAATTTTCCCATAAATACATTCGCCAGAAGTGGTCAAAGGGATGATCCCATCGTCACTCCCTCGACCTGGCAGTACAGCTGACAAATGAATCTGAATTGGACATTCAGTGTGTAGAGAAGAAGCAGCTCCTTTAGGGTTGGGATTGACATGCCATTTGCGAATTCCTGCTTAACTATCTCTTCACGTAAATATTCTATCGTTTCCGCGAGGAGAATATTAGTGACCAATGACGCGAAACCTAATAATAACATCGTTTTCCCTTTGAGAGTCGTATTTCCTAAGGAACCGATGAAATCGAAAGTGTCTCGTAAGCTGTATGGTGGTATTCTCCCTTTGCTGCCGATACTGGCCATATGCAATTCGCCGTATCACGATATTACAAAGTGGCTGGCAGAAACGCTGAAACCAATGCGATATAGAATAGATAGTTACGGTGGATAAGCGAAAGACGGAAAATATTCAGGGATAGTGTGCCACCAGTGCAAATCGAAGAGTTTCGTAGTCAACGAAATGCAGTCAAAAATGCTTCCGTTAGGCATGGGAGGAGTATAAATCCAGAAGTATCCAACTCGAAACCCGACTGAGCACAACGGAATTATTCTGCGCTCCAAATGGGACCATTTCAACTCGGTTACCACTTCACACTTGCCGTCTCTAAAATTGATACTGGGACCGTACGTAGAGAATTGCTTTGTCCATTTTTAAAATATTTTTCACGCGTCGAAATTCGCCAAAAAACCGAATTAGGTGAAATTTGTTTACCACCATGGTTCAACTGACTACGCAGCCGACCACAGCCTAGGAAAAAAATCGCTCAAAATCCCTCAAGGTCTGCAGCTATTCAAGTGCCATGAGGTTTGTAAACGCCTAAGTCGATCCTGATTAAATTCCATAGAATTTATCAGATTTTAAGTATTTTTCTGCATACTGAATTTTAAATAATCACTTAATTTAATTTAAGTTAATTTAATATATTAAATGCCAGTTTACAGGCATTGTCAAGGAAAGCGATTAAACACAAATCCGACCAGCAGTGAAAAAAAACTCCTGAAGAATAAAAATATAGTTGATGATGGTTTTTATGGTTTGAAGGGTTCAGGAGAAAAAAAACTGCTGGCGGTAGATTTTCGACAGTCAAGAAGGGGGGGAGGGGGTTGCACGGTATCGGAGGTCATTGGACGTCAATTCCTTTCATGAAATTGGGGATAGTCAAAGTAGAGGCGTTGAGGAACAGCTGGTGAGACCGGCCATAGTGTTCAGAGACCACAAACGCCATCGCTACGGTTGAGTCGACCAGTGTATCCAGCAACCAAAATTTGAGGGAGATTTTCTGAATGCAAAAATCGAGTAATAGTTCTCTTAAATAAAGGATAATTTTGCAGAGTTTTCACACTCATGGGTGGTTTATTCCAAATAACAATTGCATTTACAGAAAAGAACCGACGATATTTAATAGTACGTGCCAGAGGCAGAAATAAGAAGACCTCACGGTGACTGTTACGTCGGGATGGGCATGATGTCTCGAAGCGGTAAGTGGTTTAAATGTGTGATTATATAAGAACTTAAATAGCAAAAATAGTCCCTTTTGTAATCTACAGAACCATAAAGGATCAAGGCCCGTAAGCCGGCAACGTTCTTTGTAAGACAAATGTCGGTGTTCTGGTGTTAAAATTCTTTTGGTAAAAAAGTGTTGAACGGATTCTATTTTCTTCCGCTCAGTAGCACGCATGAGGCCAAATAAAAACGAACAGTATTCCAGACCAGGTCTAACGTACATGTTGTAAAGGCGTATTCTAATGTCCCTAATTTTAAAGTTTCGGAGGATACACCCGGTCGTTCTACGTGCTTTGGAGACTATCAAGTCACAGTGCTCCGAGAGATTGAGGCTCTTGGAGTATGATACGCCCAGATACTTTATAACCCCAGGCATATTTATGGCGTGACCTTCAATATTTCGTTGAGGTTGGCGGTCGTCGCCAACCACCATGACTGAGCACTTATGCCAAGAGAGATAAAGGCGCCATGTGCGGCACCACTGGGCGAAAGCCTGTAGATCGCTATTTAGGAGCTCAAGCACGATGTCACGATCTGCCGGCTTATATCGATATGTAACTTTAAGATCATCGGCACACATGAAAGGCTTACCATTCTGAAATAAATCGGGTACATCATTAACGAAAAGGCAAAATAAAAGCGGGCCCAGTACACTATCCTGAATGACTCCACTCCTCACACGTGTGGGGTTGGAGATGTACTTGGAAATCTTAACTCGTTGTGTACGAGTGCCCAGGTAAGAGGATATAAGATTCAAACGTTTGCCACCTATTCCGAAAGAGGACAATTTCAAGAGAAGAAGAGCATGGTCAACACGATCAAAAGCCTTAGTGAAATCGAAATATACTGTGTAAAGTGCAAAACCATTGTCCATAGATTGGAGAACATAGTCAAAGAAGGAGAGTTGACAGGTGTCACAAGATCGAGCTTTGAGGAATCCATGCTGAGCAGCACTCAGTAGGTTATTCACTGTTAAGTGACACATCATCTTATCTTTGATCAATGTCACTAAGATCTTCGAAACTGGGGGAGGGTGTTTATTGGCCGAATGTCATCAAATGATGTAGATTTGCCGTGCTTAGGAATGGGCAAAATGTGTGATTCCTTCCACAAGGTAGGATAGGTTTCACTTTAAAGAGCAAGATTAAATATCTTGAATAAGAGGGGTGGGAAAATCGCATTTGCATCGGCTTTTAAAATGCTTACTGGGACACCATCAGGGCCTGGACTATAAGATTGACAAAAACGCCGAATCGCAACAGTCACATCCCACAGAGTGAAAGTTATAGTTTCTAGAACTGCCCCGGTCAATGGCAGGATGGTCGAAAGCGGAGTGGTCGACTCTTCAATGAACGTTTTGGACAGGAAATCATTGAAGCTATCAGCGGTTAACTGGGCATCAACTATGGGATTTCCGAGAGCGTCTCGGAGGATGGAATGCTGCGTCTTTCAGTGAGTTCGTCTTTTTCTAGAGAAAAGTTTCGAGACATTTAACGAATGGTTTTCGGTAAACTGGACCCCATCGGCTAGTTGTTTTTCTTCAGACAATCTCTTAGCCCGCTCAAAATATTACGAATCAAGGGCAGAACAGAAACATCGTTCTGAAGATGGAAACGACGATAAAGCCTGCGAAATCTGCGACGATAAAGGTAAAGGGGTAGGAAGACCTCATCCCCAACATTAATAATTTTCATACGGGGGACAAAACGAGAAATAAGCGGATCCATAATTTCGTACAGATTTGCAGTGCAAACATTTGCATCCGAACTAAGGAAGAAATCATTCCAGTCGTGGGAATTAAGGTTTGTTAATAATAAGGTTGAGCGAGTTGATCGGAAATCGCGGAAAAAGTTATACTTTGGGGAAGACGTTTTGTCAGCCTCGAATTCCAACGTTGAAACAACTATGTCATGGTCTGAGCCCCCGAGTGGGCCTAGGGATGACACCGACGATGGCATGCAGCCTCTACAGAAAATTAGGTCAAGTATGCTTGAGCCTCGGGCGGGGAAATCGACAACCTGACTCCACATCCCAACATCCACAGCGTCAAGAAAGTCTTCGAACCTTCTTGTGCCGGAAGGCGGAGATCAGCGGACTTCGGGAAGATTAAAGTCCCCCGCAACCAATTGATACTTAAAGCTTGAGTCGGCCGCAGCATGAAATGCCTGTGAGAGTAAACGACCAAAATTGTCGTATGCGTTGGGAGGACGATAGACGCAGCCAACAAGCAAGGAGAACTTATTTTTCAGGGCAACCTGGAGCCAGCAGCGGCCTTCTACTGCGGAAAAATGCGGGAGGTCCAACGCCAAAAATGTAAGTGTTTGCTTAACGCAGACACAGCTGCCCCCACCACGGCTATCTTGGCGATCATTTCGGATGCAGTTATAGCCTGGAAGCGAGAGTGATGCCCACGTCTCAGTTACTAAAACAATATCTGGACAATGGACGAACACCAGAATCTGAAGCAAAGGCATCTTATTAAGCAAGGATCTGGCATTTAAAACAAAAAGTTTGAAGGGAAAGGCTGTTAGTTTCCGAGGGAGGTCGGCTACATCGTCCAGTTCTGGGCTGCCCACGGAGCAAATGGTCCGGATGCAACCATCCGGTTCTGCAAAAAATTTTGTGGCATCGAAAAATTCTGACGTGGATAAAAAGGGGTAGGACTTGGGGGAGGGAATGACGGGCAGGTGAACTGGTAACCATTGTTAGCTAACTTATTTTCAGCTGGAAATCCGCGGGGCAGATAGTGCAACGTATTCCGCCGGAACGAAACTGAGCATCAGATGAATTAACTGATCCTGTATAGACAGAATTTTTAAGAAATAAAGCCACAGATCTGGATAGCTTTGACCATAATTCCGTCGGCGTATGGTGTGATATCAAGATTTTTGCTGTAGTTT